TAGCTATGAATACAGCACTGAACATAGTACAGTACTTTCAACCGACGGAGGCTGGTTGATTATACTAGAACATATATGTAACTTAAAAAATAATGTCTATGAACTTACAAGGAATGCTTCCTCATGAATAGCAGATTAACAGAGTGTTGTAAAGTCGAAAATTAAGCCAGATAAACTGGTTAAATGAATGATTAACTTATGTGCAAATTCAGCATGTTCGCTATGGGAAACAATGATTGAAAAAGATCGCTGAAAGCGCCACCAACTTGGCAGGTAGCCATGTAGTGAACAACAGTCATCACACTCCCCGTCTGGCATCCGGAGGATACCACTATCGAAAATGAAACAAATTAAAAACATAAAGGTATATAAAACAAACTTAACTAAACGTATCATATTAAACTAAGGCGTCAACAGGTATGAAGTCATGCGAGTTGGTTTTCTTCAGTCTTCATTAGCAACACCAACTCCTGTATTGGACGGATGAAACGTTTGGTAGTGCCTTCTTCGCATGTCTGCACCTCCACTTTCCTAATTCGTTGATCGTTGCTGGAATAGGTATTCAGGATTCTACCCATTGGCCATTCATTTCTATGTTGTTCCTTCTTCTTAATAAGAACGATATCTCCAACTTTTAAACAAGGGACATCCTGGTACCATTTTCTTCTGCTTTGCAGTGTAGGAAGATACTCTTTCTTCCATCGTACCCAGAATATATTTGCAAGGTACTGCACCCGCCGCCATTGCTGCCCAAACAGATTCTCTTTTGCATAGGTTTTGCGTGTAATACTGAGAGCGCTGGGCTTCTGTGTAAGGAGCATGTTAGGTGTTAAGAGTTCAGGTGCTTCTGGATCACTGGAAACAGGTACAAGTGGGCGACAGTTCACAATGGCAGACACTTCAGCCATGAATGTTGATAAAACTTCGTGTGACAGTTGGTTTGGTCCAAGATCCACAAACATAGAATCTAGGACTCGTCTGGTGACCCCGATCATGCGTTCCCATGATCCACCCATGTGGGATGAGTGAGGCGGGTTGAATATCCACTCGCACCCATTTTCGAGGAGATATTTTCTTACAATCTGCTTGTTAGCATGTTTTTGCAGATCATCGCCAAGTTCATTACATGCACCAATAAAATTGGTGCCGCAGTCTGAACGTAGTTGTGAAGCTGGTCCTCTGATGGAGAAAAAACGTCGCAGGGCATTGATGAAGCTAGATGTGTCCATCGACTCGATAACTTCAATATGGATAGCTCGACAGGTCATGCATGTAAATAGTACAGCCCATCGTTTCCCTCTAGCCTGTCCACCTCGGGTTCGTCGAGTGCGTACCGTCCAAGGTCCAAACACATCAAGTCCCACGTAGGTAAATGGGGGAGCAGGAGTCAAACGTTCAACTGGTACATCTGACATTTTTTGTTGATGTTCCTTGCCTCTTAGCTTCTTGCATGTGATGCATCTATGTAGCACACTAGCTATTTTCTGTTTTCCACCAATAATCCAATAACCAGCAGCTCGGACTGCCCCGTGCGTGAAGTGGCGGCCTTGGTGATGGACTAGTTCATGATGATGTCGGATCAACAGGGTTGTTACGTGGTTAGAGCGGGAAAGGATTAGAGGATGCTTCTCTTCCTGATTAAGATTAGCACTGCCTAGCCTCCCTCCTACTCTCAGGAGTCCATCTTGATCGATGTAGGGACTCAAATTCAACAGTGGACTTTTCTTTGAAAGATCTTTTTTGTTCATTATGTTGTTGATTTCTACACCAAAGTCGTCCCTTTGCACATTCTGGAGTATAACTGTTTTAGCGAGAAATTCATTTTCATCTGTGTGAGTGCACGAGTAGTGCCAACCTTTACACCGTGATGCGATGCTATCCTGGCGTTTAAAGGACTGTACTATGTGGCTAAGTGTGGCGATGGCATTTACTAAGCGAGTCCAGCTCGAAAACTTGGTGAAACGTTGAGATCCGAGTGAATTGGGTGCCTTGATTTCTGTATGATAAATAGATGCATCTGGTCTTACCTCAGGATCATTACTTAAAATGAGAAAGTCTCTTTCACTCATAGGACAATTTACGTTTTCGGCTACTGATTTCCAAAGAAAGCTTGGACCGGTCAGCCATGTTGAAGTAATCAATTCAGAAGGTGAGAGCCCTCTAGATGGATGATCTGCTGGGTTTTGGTTCGTTGAGATGTAACGCCACTGCTCCGGTTTGGTTGATTTCAGGATGCGTTCTACACGGTTGCTGACGTACACGTAAAAACGTCGAGTTTGGTTAGTGATATAACCTAACACCACACGGCTGTCAGTGTAGAAGAATGATGCGTCAATTTTAAACTCTAATTCTGTATTGACGAGGTCGGCAACCTCAACTGCGAGTAGGGCTCCACAAAGTTCTAAACGAGGTATAGTGGTGGCTTGCTTCGGTGTTAGTTTACCCTTGCCTAGGACAAGGCTAACATGATTTTCGCCCTTGTCATCGGTCACTCTGAGGTAAGTGGCTGCACCAATCGCCTTGTTAGATGCATCGGAGAATGTATGTAATTCTCGTCGGCTAGCTTTCTTCGATGAGAACGGAGTGTAAGATCGCGGGACCTTCAGCTCTGACAGTGTACTCAGCGAGTTGCGCCATGTACGCCATGAGGAATTGAGATGCTCAGGCAGTGGATCGTCCCAATCAAGATTTTCCTCAGAAGTCATTTGTCTCAGGATTATCTTGCCTTGAATAACCACGGGAGCGACGAACCCTATTGGGTCGTACAGGCTGTTGATTTCGGATAATACTCCTCGTTTAGTGAATGGTTTCCTGTCCTCTGCGATTCTGAACGTGAAGACGTCAGCTTTTAAGTCCCAATAGACTCCAAGAGAACGTTGTATTGGTGGGGTGTCAATGTTTAAATCTAGGTCTTTAAGGTCACCAGCATGGTCATTGGTAGGAAATGCTTGCATAACTTTTGGGCTGTTAGATGCAATTTTGTGCAACCTTAAGTTGGCCTTTGATAACATCGTCTGTGTACGTTGAAGTAAGTCGATTGCTTCGCTGTCTGTCGGTAATGACTTAAGTCCGTCGTCTACATAGAAATTCTTGTCTACAAAGCTTTTGGCATCCGCACCAAACTCGATCTCGCCAACTTCAGCTGTCCGCCGTAAACCGAAGGTTGCCACTGCCGGTGAAGGACTGTTACCAAAGATGTGTACTCTCATTCGATATTCTATCACATCACCATCTGGGTTGTTGTCCCGAAACCACAAAAACCGAAGGAAATCCCGGTGGTCTTCGCGGACGAGGAATGAGTGGAACATTTGTTCGACATCGGCCATAAATGCTATTGAGTCTTGCCGGAAGCGTAAGAGTACGCCTAAGAGTGTATTTGTCAGGTCAGGGCCACTTAGCAAGGTCTTGTTCAAGGATATTCCTTTGAATTCTGCGCTTGAATCGAATACGACTCTTATCTTTCCTGGCTTTCGTGGGTGATACACCCCAAAGTGTGGCAGATACCATCGTTGAGCGGAGGGTTCTATAGGTGGAGCAACTTCAGCATGCTGGTTAGAGAGGACTTTCTCCATAAATGAAAGGTAATGCTCTTTCACTATAGGTTTTCGATCCAGTGAACGTATTAGTGACTTTAACCGGTTCTCAGCCTGCACCTTGTTGTTGGGTAAGTTTGTCGTCGGATAACGGAAGGGTAAGGGGGCAACCCAGTTACCAACCTCGTTTTGACAAACCGTCTTATCCATTATTTTTATAAATGCTTTGTCTTCCATCGACATTCCGACTTTGTTGTCATTTCTGGAGCATTCAAACAGGCGAGCCCCTAAACTATCATCTGCGATAGGTACAACATTCCCTTGATGTTTGATACGTCCAACAGGACTTTCCTTGATCATGATGCAGTTATCACATGGCTCGAAATATGTTGGTCGCCCATTTTCCAATATAGTTGTGCGATATGTTTCGACCTCCATACTCCTATGTGCTGTACCCAAGCAGACGTCTCCAACCACCACCCATCCAAGATCAAGACGCTGGGCCCAGGGTGCGTTGTTGGGACCATTCCGCACTTCCCGTATCTTGTGTACTTGAGGTAGGTCTCTTCCAAGTAGGATTAATATGTCGGCATCAGGATCTAATGGTGGTATTTGGTCGGCCAGAGACTGGAGATGAGGATGATACTTAATCGCATCAGGAGTTGGTATCTCTGCTCTGCAATCTGGGATAGCATTACATTCGATGATAGTTGGAGCTGGTAGAGTGATTCGACCATTCAATGATTCGATAACAATGCCGGTAGCTCGACGACCTGCTATACTTTTAGTGCCAGCACATGTTCGCAGAGTGTATGGTTCGTTGCTGCCTTCAAGTCCTAACTTTTCGAACAACTCCGTCCTTGCAAGTGAACGGTTACTCTGGTCGTCCAGGACCGCATAAGCTTTGATTGAATGCTCCGGTCTGTTGCTTACATATAGACGCACTAAACAGATCTTCGAACATGACTTTCCGTACACCTGTTCGCCACATACTTCAGTGCAGTTTGCTGTTACGGCTTCAGTTTTGGTTACGCGCCTCTCCCCGCCGTGCGCTGGGTCACGGTCTGGCGTCTTTGTTGGTCCAATATGTAGTGCTGCAAGATGACGGTCGCTTTCACATTCGATGCACCGTACGTCAGTCTTACAGTTTTTTGATATGTGTGTAGTGGACGCTAAGCACTTATGGCAAATCTTTAGATCCCGTAATATTGATCTTCTTTCGTCAATAGACTTCTCCCGAAATGCTCTGCACTCTCGCAACGGATGAGATTTATGGTGGATGGGGCAGGTTACATTGGGATCATCATTTTTGGAGCCTTTTGGTGTTCTTTCAGTGTATTGGCTAGATACGTCAGTCTTGTGGCTGCCGACATCGGTTCGATATGGTTGCCTTGGGACAGATTTCTTGGGTTTGAATTGCTGGTGATTGGTTTCTAAGTTCTCTGAGAGGTTCAACTTGAAACTAGGATCATTTCTTTCTTCCGCCAGATTACGGATAAACTTTGAGAAGAAAGTGAATGGAGGAAATGGAACTTTGTTATCCTTCTTGTATTTGTATGCTCGGGATCTCCACTTATCCTGTAAGTTACGTGGTAGTTTAGCTACAAGTGGGTTGACGCCCATAAATGTGTCCAAGTAATTTAAGCCAGGTAATCCTCCATCATTTTTTGCCTGTTCAACCATCTGAAGAGCATCTCCAAAATCTCTCAATCTCTCAAAGTCATTAACACTTACATTTCGGAATTCAGTCAGCTTCCTGATGAGGGCAGTTGTCACCACTTCAGCAGTACCATACTTCTCTTCTAGTCTTGCCCAAGCTGTGGATAGACCTAGAGTTGGATTAGAAATGTGTACTGCACGGATACGCTTAACTAGTTCTCCTGACTTCTCTCCAGTGTGCTTCAGAAGTAGGTCTAATTGTTCAGATTGAGTAAGAGGAATGCCACTTATTGCGTTACTAAATGACAATTTCCATGATCTAAAGTGTTCAGGTTTGTCGTCGAAGCTAATTATACTTGTCGTTATTAAGTCACGACGTGCAAAATGATGCAGCCATCCTTGTAAACTAGTTTGGTTAACAGGATTGTCTGGTCTGGTCTGGGTTGTGGTGAATGTAGGCATTTGGATTACACCAACAGGTGATTGCGTCTGTTGACTCTGCATATGTCGTGTTACATCTACGGGTGATTTCGTATGTTGACTCTGCATATGTCGTGATACATCTACGGGTGATTCCGCATGTAGACTCTGCATATGTCGTGTTGTGGCGGTGATCACGTTGTTTTGCTCAGGAACGTTTGGCGTAACCATGTCGTCTGGCAATTTTCCGTTGGCTGATGTGTGTGGTTGGTTGTCATTCTGTGCACCGTCGACAGTGGTGTCGGGAATCTGACTTTCTGCGTATTCATATGATTGGTCTTCAGTAGGTTGCTTGTTGAGATAGTTTTCTACTAGCCTTTGTGGATTCACAACTGGTAAATTAGTTAGAATTTGACTGCCAAAAATGCTCTCGTGCTGTTCTAGCTCGAGCTCCCATACAGCTGCACGGGCTTCTGCCACGGCAACATCTTCTTCATGCTTTAAGGTCTCCATCTCTGCCTCAACTCTGGCTGCTTCAATCTTGGTCACAGCCCTTTTTTTAGCGACGTTAGCACGTGCAATTGCCATAGCCGCATCTGCTCTAGCCTGAGCAGCGGTTAACTTTAACGATGAAATTGAGGATAGAGCAGATCGATTAGAGCCTGATCTTCTGGAACCTGATCGCCGGGAAGTTGTGCGGCCTCCAATGTGTGACATCTTCACGTCTGTTATCTGCGTTTGATAAGGACGGTCCTTTTTACTGTTCTGGCCTCGCAAGCGCGTGCGCTGCGCCTGATATCCAGACAGCTAACCTCCAAGAAGACGAGTTTTGTACTGTAAAACTTTATTCTTGATCGTGACGTTATCTTTAGTGGTAAACTGTAATAAGATAAACATATAGGTATACATAATCCTATACACCATAATAACTAAATAAAACATATATTGGTAATTTAAGCAAGCATAAACTTATTAGGCATAGACACTTCCAAAACTACAGACAGTGTCGGCAATAATAATGTACTCAATAAATAGCGCCCTCAGTAGGGTAAGTTCGCCAGCTAGCTAGGTAAACCCAGCATGGGATACCACTAGTACACATGTAACAAGCCAAGTGGCTAGCCTTTTATAGTACACGGCTTACAGTGACAAAATCACAACATTGCATAATACATTGCATTAAACTATATAGAAATAATAACAATCGGACGTACGTTAATCGTAGCCGAAACTAAGACCTGTCAAAACGAGACAGGCTGGTCGTAGCACAGGCCTAAACGACGCTGCACTAACACAACCGCTACAGTAGCTATGAATACAGCACTGAACATAGTACAGTACTTTCAGCCGACGGAGGCTGGTTGATTATACTAGAATATATATGTAACTTAAAAAATAATGTCTATGAACTTACAAGGAATGCTTCCTCATGAATAGCAGATTAACAGAGTGTTGTAAAGTCGAAAATTAAGCCAGATAAACTGGTTAAATGAATGATTAACTTATGTGCAAATTCAGCATGTTCGCTATGGGAAACAATGATTGAAAAAGATCGCTGAAAGCGCCACCAACTTGGCAGGTAGCCATGTAGTGAACAACAGTCATCACAATTATTATTACTGGTGAAAAGTCTGCCTTATATTAAATATATAAAACTTTCCAGTTCAATATATAATTATTACTTTACTGTATTTTATTTAACAATTGTCCATGCGCTTTCTTACCACCAGGAGAAAATTGCAGAAAAACATAGTTATAAATCCGCTAAAAAAGAGAGAAATACTGCAGTGTCTAGTTTATTTTTATAATTTATTTTTAAGTATATTCTTATTCTAAAATAGAAAGAAATAGCCTGTGCTTTTACAATTAAAAAACAACACATTTATAATAATAATGGTTATTTATATAGCATAATCACAAGCCATTATATGTGTATAACGAGGTTTATGGAATTTATTTGGTATTTATCTCTTTATGCGGACAATTTATTACAAGCATATATATTTTCTCATGAGAAATAACCGTCAATGATAAACTTTGGATAAAGCTCCTCTCGTCAGCGGTAAACTGGATATAGCGCTCAGTATTAACGATCTGAGCTAACTAATCTTCCTGATTGTTTATACCGTGACGGCTATTGTTCAGATTATAGGGTCTTCGCCTAATTTGCGTGGCCTTCAATTGGTCAGCTGGACATTTCGTCACCCAGAGCTATATATGATCATGGAGGAAAAAATGTATTTTTTTCCTCCATGATATGATCATACATTTGGCTTAATATCTTAAAACAACAAATTGTGAGAGGTCCATGCCCATTTCTTATAGCGGTAGCAGCATTAACATATTCAACATGTTAATATATATAGTTTATCATCGCTATTTTCATCATTGTCAATATATGTTCATTATTATTTCAACACTCAAAGGCAAGGTAATTAAATGAAATTTAAAAAAATCTGTTCAATTTGTAACACTACACTTAATTCATGATGTTCTGCCTTCACAAATAACATACACACATACGCTCAAACTCAGAACAGTACATACTCAGAAAACATATAGATACATACATAATATGTACGTCTGAATACTGTACATACAAATAGAGATAGAACGCTAATCAGGAAGCTACTTCACGTGTGCCTTTCATGATGACTTTTTAATGTATATTTCTAGTTAAGTAGTTTTCTTTTAAGTTATTTGTTATGATTGACGCACCTCCGTCAGTGCCGCTGATGTAAATGGTGTCTGTATAGAGTCGATAAATGATTTGATTTGATTTGACTAACCTCAACGAATTGTCGTTATTTACAATCTTCAAAACAATCAATCCATTCATCCATTCAGTAGGCCTACACTAGTTTGGCAAAAATATATATGCATACTACAAGGCCTTAGATTTCAACTTTCTGATTCCAAACAAGCATAGTTCGCTATCCTGTAATGTTTAATTTAGTATACGTTTTGATCCATGATAAGACTTCTCTTCAAAATATTGAAATAATAGAACACGAGTAAAATATATGATCAATTGTTGCGTCATACTTATTACAAAATGTACACAAATTAGTTGCAACATTTCTATGTTAAATAAGAAAGGGTTTATTTACCACCAAATTTCTGTGTATGATTCGATGCAACCATCTTAATTTAGTATCTGTAGCAGAGGCAAATACCAAATATGAGAATGTGTTTCAAGTGGAATCAACGATTATTTCACCTAAGTCCTAATAAGTAAAATTAGCACAAAAAACATTGTATATTCTTCTTGATCCCCGTTTATCCTTTAAAAACACTACTAAAGTTAGGCGGCCACCATGGCTCTCCATCTAACACAATTTTCTGCTGCTCTCCTCGCCTCCATGTAAGATAATGTTAGGCACCATCTCTTGACTTAATCACTCCATTTGATTTTCTGTCTCCCTCTTGTTACCGAGCCATCATATATTAATTATAGAATTCTAAAACTCACAAATAAAATATTTTCATTGTTCCTTTCATTGCTGTAGAAGCTGAAGTGGTGGATCCCTTTTGTCGGATGGAACCTCAATCGGGTAATATTGTTAGTGGTAGTGGTTAGTAGTAGTTTAGTGGTAACGATGGATGTAGTTATTGTAAATAAACAATGTAAGCCACAATGAATAGAGCCTTTAATGAAGCGGAACGTTCACAAGAACAGTGTTCAGATACTAATCTGATAGGACTAGGATAATAAAATTAAACCATAAAGAATTAGCCATCAAAATAATTAAGGAAGAATTACGCGAGAAATGATAAATCAATCAATATATAATAAAATATGTATAAATAGAGGCCTATGATAAATTACAGGAATGAAAAACGGGAACTGTACTAAAGAGTTATGAAACATTTAGTGGAATGTAAAGCCTGAAGCAAAACCTAGGTCATGTTAGCTCCTATTTTATGAGTCCTAAGTTTCAAAATCCATTTTATTTCTGCACATCTCCTTTCATTATGTGATCTATGTGATCATCAATAATGATACATCTCATATTATTAATGGTGTGCCTAGCTCCGTTAAATTGTTAACAGTATATACTGTCTGCTGTAATATATACCTTTAGAAGGTGAAGGTAGCAGGTGCTACCGAAAATTTCGTACAAATGAAATTCAATGTCTCAATCAAGTCAAAGTGTCTTGCAGTACTTCCATGTCTGTCAACCATTCTATAGCCGAGGTATACTTGGAATAGCTATGAAACATTTAGTGGAATGTAAAGCCTGAAGCAAAACCTAGGTCATGTTAGCTCCTATTTTATGAGTCCTAAGTTTCAAAATCCATTTTATTTCTGCACATCTCCTTTCATTATGTGATCTATGTGATCATCAATAATGATACATCTCATATTATTAATGGTGTGCCTAGCTCCGTTAAATTGTTAACAGTATATACTGTCTGCTGTAATATATATCTTTAGAAGGTGAAGGTAGCAGGTGCTACCGAAAATTTCGTACAAATGAAATTCAATGTCTCAATCAAGTCAAAGTGTCTTTGAATATAACAATACACACATAATTTTAAATCAAGGCAAGACTAGGTATCTATAATTATTATAAATTTATATTTATTTACAAAGGGGTATCATTTTTATACAAACACCAAGACACGTTTTATATTGTTCTGGAAAGTGATGCTGAGATGTACGCCCGAGATGCCTTCTTCTTGTGCCTAAAGTAAGTACATGTCCTCATTCCTTTTTTGTACGTTTATTCTACAGGTGTGAAAGACAAACGTGATGGGAGGGGGACAAGAGATGAAACTAGCGAAGGTGACCAGTGATCATATGACCCAAATTAAGGAACCCTGGACTCCCCATATGGGATATACCCAATCATTTTTTTCGAGGAAACACTCGTTGCATTTCTTTACAGTCTGAGAACGTCATTCTCGGCCATCTAGAAATGCATATTCTTTAAATCTCTTTCAACCATGATGGGGGTGAGGCAGGTGAGGGCACAGCTGTCGGGAGCCATGGTACTCTCGTCGGGAACCATGAACCCCTGTTGGAGATATCAATAATTTCTTAATGCTTCCACTTTCTGAAAGTTAAATTTTAAGTTCGTGATTCAAGTGTGTATGCACGCCCCAGAAGAGAATAGAAAATCCCAGATTAATTTTTGACAGGTATGCCATGTCAGCTTGCTCTTCTTAAAAAAAGAACGATAATCCTATGTCCTTATAAGAAGTATCATATACTATTTAAACATTTTTTGTTAGACGTGGTACAATTCCACTGACAATTGAAGACGACCAGGAGCATCAGGATGTGTTAAATGCCATCGTTAATGCTAAAGGCTACACTAATGTTGTTTTAGGTATGATTCATAATAATAGCAAACATAATATTTTTTCGTTATCATTTGTATTATTAAATTATCATGATTTCTATTATTATTATTATTATTATTATTATTATTATTATTATTATTATTATTATTATATTATTATTATTATTATTATTATATTATTATTATTATTATTATTATTATTATTGTATTATTATTATTGTTATTGTTATTATTATATATATTAATTATTATTATTATTATTATTATTATTATTCTATCTATTAATTTTCATTTAAAAATTAAGTTAAACAAATATTTTAATGATATTTAATTAATTAATTTCTATTGGTTTTTTTTTTAATTATTCATTTCATGTTTTCTGGAAGTAGCACATCATTAAGACGACAGTGCTTTTACTTTCGCTGCTTCCTGGCTCACCTAATTATTCTTTTTATGAATAAAATGAAATATAAATTACATGACTCTTACGATTTGAATAATTTTGCACTTTATACTGTTCTTAATAATAATATTATTATTTCCAATATCAATTTTAAATACTCTCAGTTATTCGTTTATTTATTAATTTAGTCAACTTTGTACCAGTTTCCAACTAGAATTTTTTTAATCTGTAGGCTATTTTTTTCATTATAAAGGTGTTGTGTACATGAGGGAAAGTAAAAGCTTTAAGTGGCTTGATAACTCTGCATATAATTTTACTCCTGTTTGTACCAGCAACAGTTCGGCGAATAATTTTTGGATTTTGAAAAAAGACGGCTTGTACTACGAAACAGAAGACAAAACAGACGTGGAAATTGTTTGTAAAGTTAAAATTATTCCTCCATGAATTAAAAATTCACTAATTATTGTTAATCATGATGCTCCCATAGTGGAGGAACTATGACGTGATCGAACGAAGTAAAGAAAATTGTTGTAATAAGAATCAAATTATGATCTGCTGACGTCACGGTTAAGCTGCAGTTGTCCTCATGTATTGGTATTACTATTGGAAGCTCCCGATTTGTTCGTCGACGCGACGCTAGAACGGAATCACCGTCCTACCTGGCGTCCTACGTTCTCTGCACTGCACTCTTCTCTGTACTGTAGATTTGGTCAAGTTGCGTTCTACAATCTACTCGACGAGGTGACCTTTAACGTTCTCGCATTCGCAAACGACGTTTGACGTCATTACTTTACAGTTTCCAACTGGAAATTTGTTAATCTGTAGGCTATTTATTTTCATTATACAGGTGTTGCGTAGGGCATATCCCTTTAGTAAGATAAAGTTGTATTGTATTGCATTACACAAATATGCAACTGCCCCTGTTGTATAATAAGTAACGCTACACCCCCCCCCCGGGCCTGGAAATTAATACCCTATAATTTCTACTCCAATACGCC